ATTACACTGCCTCCACCATGCTTCACGGTCATATGGCAGTAACGTAAATCGAGGCGTTTTCCGGCCGGTCGACGTACACGGCTAATGCCATCGCTCCCAATGATGTTGAACTTCGATTCATCACTGAACAGGACAGTTCGCCATTTCTGCACATTTCAGTCAATATGAGATGTTGTAAACAGGTCTTTTTTCTAGTGAAATCAGCGGTTTCTTTGCAGGGCGTCGAGAAAACAATCCGGATTCAACAGCACGTCGTCTGGTTGTTCGGTCCGATACAATGGAAGGATCCCTGGATACAGGATATCCAGAGATCCTTCTTGACGGATCTGACGATCATAGAATCCTCTCTAGAAGTGGTGGAACACGGTCTATCACCATTGTTATCTACTGCCAACTTTCCTGTAGAACGATGTTTGGAACATAGTCTTGATACGGTCCATTTTTTCACGCGATATTTATCACAAATACTTTTTTTGTGACATTCCACTTACGTAATCGCCAATTATTTTCATTCTAAGTTCCAATGCAAGACTGTCGGCAGCCATTTTTGCACTTTAAGTCATAAAAATAATAAAAATAAATAATCACGCTTCTCAAGGCTTACCTATTACATTTACCTTGTGATGATACAATAATGCTATGTGTAACACAATGTCTTGGTTGGATGTGGACTGTATTGATGTAATGAAACATTTGTTGTATTTCTCTTCTTGTATTGATGTTCTTCGATAAAACACTTCGATAAACTGTCTTGATAATACTGACTGATTGACTTCCATATACTGACTGAATTAAATGTCGGTTTACATGTCTCTTGAATAGTAAAATGAACGTGTGTGAACCTATTCTGGAAGATTCTAGATGCTTCTTTTCGAAGCTTCTAAAAGCTTCTGGATGCGTCTGGATGCTTCTGAATTTTTCTGGATACTATTGGATGCTTCCAGATGCTTCTTCTGAAAACTTCTGGAAGCTTCTGCATGCTTCTGGAAACTTATGGAAACTTATCAATACTTCCTTTAGTTATTAAAAAACTTCCGTGAGGTTGACACGGACCAGACTTAAGGAAATGAAACAAACCAAAAAGTTGCACTTGTTTTGTCCGCTGCAAAATAGCACATGTCAACCAAATTCTGCCTGTGTGCTGTCACCTGTCAGCTGATCATGTCATGGCATGCTATGACTACAGACTCCTGAACTGTTTGCTGTGGTAGTCGTGTCGTTTCGCTTTAAAGACATGTAAAATTAGGAACATGTTCGATGTTGGTTGCAAATGTTTTGTCCAATACTGTATATAAATCAACGTTTTTCCAATGTATGTAAATACATCGCAAAAAGTTGATTGTTTTTACGAGCTAAACCCAACGTTGATCCAATGTATGCAACCAAACATTGCTATTGCGAAACTATATAATTTAAATAAAATCTTCCGTGATTATTAAAATATCAAACCATAATCAATACAAACATGAATTTTGTTCCAATGATAATAGCAACTACATAAATAAATATACATATATGTATAATGTTTACGTCAGCTGAATATATATATATATATATATATATATATATTTATATATATATATATATATATATATATATATATATATATATATATATATATATATATATATATATATATATATATATATATATATATATATATATATATATATATATATATATATATATATATATATATATATATATATATATATATATATATATATATATATATATATATAAAGAAAATAGAATTTAAATTTATTTCTAAATAATATTGAATGCAACGTTTTGCCAATTAAAGTTCAACGAATCATTGTAAATACAACGTTGAAACAACGTAAAATACAACTTTGGGCCAACGTATAAAACAAAACGTTGAATCAACGTAGAAAATGTTACCATTTTCCGACTTTAAATAAACGTTTTATCAACATTGGTTTTTAGTTGTTGGCGACGTCGCATTTGTAACCATAATGATATAAAAACAACGTTGGCAGCCGATGTTGGGCCAACGAAACGCGTGACATTGTTCTAACGTTTTAACAACGTATTTGTGCTAGCTGGGATACATCCCAGTTATTTTTTAAAACTTTGATCTTTTAAATGTTCAAACTTGACCGGCAAAAATTTGTTTTGGGATCTCAAAACAGCAATTTTGATTATTTCGGGTGGTGGTGGTTGGGTGATTATTGACCGTTGACCACCAGTTATATTGTGCACTGAGTTATGGTAAAACAAATTAAGGGAAAAAAGCTTGGAATATTTTTTTCTAAATTCAGAAATTATAGAACTAGACGTTAGATTATCTAAAAAACTTGATGTTTTATTAGGAACCCAATCTTTTTGCCGTAAAATTGCTCGTGTCAAATTTGAAAAACTTTGTTCTGAAACTATAACTTTGTACCGTAAAACGGGGTTTCTTTGAACATTTTTGATATATTTTTACTTGCTCTTCCTTTACTATTGACAATATTTGAAATTTAACATAATGAATGTAGGAGCTAAAATTGACTCTTACATAATTCAAATTCAAATAAATATTTAAATAAAAGGATTTTGTATAATATTAATTTAAATAGTCATTCAAAGTTACCCCACAAATGAGATAACTTTGAATGCGTTTTTTATAAAAGCAAAACCTATTCAAAAACGCCTTGTTTTGTTTTAAAATTTAATAAAAACAAAAGTCTAATTTCACAGTAATTTATTATACAGCAAAGTCCAAGATTCTAGGTTAAAAACTTTTGTTCTTATTTTAAGAACTTGATTCTTATTTTACGAACCTGATTCTTATTTTAAGAACCTGATTCTTATTTTAAGAACTTGATTCTTATTTTAAGAACCTGATTCTTATTTTAAGAACCTGATTTTTATTTTAAGAACCTGATTCTTATTTTAAGAAATTGATTCTTATTTTAAGAACCTGATTCTTATTTTTAAGAACTTGATTCTTGTTTTAAGAATTTGATTCTTATTTGAAGAACTTGATTCTTATTTTAGACTTCCATTCTTATTTAAAGATATTTCAATAAAAAGCATTGTTCCTAATTTTATAATATTGTAACATTTTGTTTCTAAATAATATATATATATATTTATATATGTATACATATTATATACAAACAATGTTTGTATATATATATATATATATATATATATATATATATATATATATATATATATATATATATATATATATATATATATATATATATATATATATATATATATATATCAATAGATACCTGCAGGTATACCTAAAAAAACTTAAAGAATTCAGAAAAATTAAAGCCACTGATTTTCCCTTTCTGAAAATCCTCCCCACCCTCTGATAGATCTTGTGTTCATGATTTTATGTAATCAAATAATCTAATCCATTTGATCCATAAGACTAAAATACAAACCAGAAAGAGTCGTATACTTCAAGAATTTTATAGAATTTGCCTTTAATAAATGCAATATTCATATCTGCAAAATTGCAGATGGCCTAAACAGCATAAAAGTAAGTTTTTTTTATGGGCGACTTAGTAGCAGAATAATATAAATGTAAGGTGCAAGCATGCATAAGAGCGATTTGGTTTGAAGTGCTCCAAAGTTATGCACTTCTTTATAATAAATGAATTTAATAAAATGAATAAACTGCCAAGCGACGGATCAAGGAGTTTTTATGTGGCTAAAGACTCTGCCTCTTCCGCCTACCCCCCTCCCTCCACAAACTGTCATTAGGGCCCCAAAATCTTAAAAAACCTACAGTCAATTACAAGCGTTATGTTTATGAGCGCATGTTCAAAAAGTGCATAAGAAATTTTAGAGATTTTAAAATGGCTGCGGATCTTAGCTACATGTTCAAAAAGTTCAAAAGGATCTTAGCTACATGTTTAAAAAGTTCATAAGAAATTTTAGAGATTTTAAAATGGCTGCGGATCTTAGATTTTTTATATAGCAACTTTTTTTTAATTTTGGTTTTGTAAAAATTAATGCTGCGACTTATTTATTAAACTCGTGATGAATGGAGTATTTGGACCAAATGTTGTTTGTTGTACTAAACCTAGCACCCAATTTTTTCATAAATGGAATAACATCAATAAAACTGTAATAAACCAGCAATATATTTTTCTAAAGTCAAATAGATTGTATTACTAAAAAGCAAATCTCTATTAATATTAGGTACGCGGAAATCACGATTTACGGAACCGATTGTGCTAAAATTTTGTGGCTCGTTTTTTTAACTTTTTTTTAAGTAGCATTAGACAAACGTATTTTTGTTTTTTTTTAGAAATATATATACAGATAGATACTTTTTTGAAAGAAGAAAGATTAATCTTGATTTTTATATAACTTTTATGTATGGTTACTTAATTTTTTTATGGATTATTTTGGTTCTGAGAAATAGGTTGATGTTCTCACATAAATATGTAGTCGAAAGAATATTGATCCCGGTCTATTTATTATTCAAACAAATTTCTGCATGCAATTTCTATGCACATTTCAAATTTCAACGAAAAAAAAAGGGGAGCAGATAGATTTCAAAGGGTTCTACTACGCATTTTTGCGGTAGTCTTAGTAAAACGTACTTTTGTGGTATTTCTTTTTAGAAAAATATGTAAATAAAGATTTGTTTTTGAAAGAAGAAAGGTTAAGCGTGATTTCTATATAACTTTTATGTATGGTTACTAAACTTCTTTATGGGTTATTTTGCTTCAAATTTTGCATGAAAATTTAGACGATGTTCTCACTTGAATTTGTACTAGAAGGAATGTTGATCCCGCTCTATTTATTTTTTAAACAATTTTCTACATGCATTTTTTATGTAAATGCCAAATTTAAACGAAAAAAAAAGCGAGCAGGCAGTTTACTAAGTGTAACACTTTTGGTACCTAATTTATGTTTTTCTGATTTTTTTTTTCGGTTATAGCAAATTACGGAGGCAGCGAGGGGGGCCATTCGCAAAACAATTGTTATTGCGAGAATGTTTATTCGGATTTTTTTTATTAAATAATAAACTGGAAAAAATTAATAAAGTTTTGTTGGACTCTGTAACAACTAGTAAATTATTTTTTTTAATAAAAGTATAAGTGATAATTATTTTTAAAACTAAAATATGTTGATAAATTTAAAAATCTTTAGTAAATTCTTAACGTTTAACCCTTTCGTGCCGGGATTTATTTAGGCGATTTATAAAGCGCAATACTATGTCACGTAAACACTTAAATACATAGGTTTCCTTACAAAATTTCCCTAAAAAAAAAACAAAGTATATATCCTTGGAAAGCAGGCAAAATTTAGAATCCAAAAATAAAAATTAAAAATAAAAAAATTAAACCTATGACGTCTACATTATTTCATATTGATAAAGAAGCTTTGCGAATTTTAAATAGTTGCTAATTAAGCCTTTCAAATAGCTAGCTATATTGTTTTAAAAGTAAATAAAGGCTCGTAAAACGGTGCAAAATTTATTCAGCTTTCATTTGATGGGTCACTTTTCTAATTTAGATAATTTGAAGTTAAATAGTTAACATTTTTCTCTGGTGACGTCAAATTTTTTTTTATTTTATTTTTTTGCTTAATTTTGTTATTCAATAAAAATATTAAAAATACCTATAAAGATAAGTAACTAATTTGATGGGATACTTTCCTTATTTAAATAAGTAGAAAATAATAAACCCACCCTTTGTGTAAAGCAAATACAAGATTTTTCAGCTATTTTATTTATTATATTTTGTTAACACAAGTGAATGTATAGATACATAATTTTAAAAATAAAACTATGAATGCCACATGTTCCAACAATTAGAGACTGAATCAAGGCATAAATGGACATTGCAAAATGAACAAAAAACACGTGATCTACAAATTCCTTTTGAATGGCGCTGGGACTGACCAACTAAAGTAGTTTTTCGAGTATTTTCAGAACAATTTTTGCAATCTCTTGGCTTATCGTTTACCAAAGGTTTATGAACTCCAACATTTGTATGTCGTAGTGTAATTGGTTCATTTGAATTACTAGGTCTTCCACTATTCTTAGATCTAGTATTTCCTATTAATTGTTCAATAAGTTCTTCAAAAAAACTTTGATGACTGGGGGCACGATGCTCAATAAACCAAGACTCAAATACAAATGCATTATGAACACATATTTCTAATAGGTGGTAAAGGATTTGCCTATACCATTTACTTGATTGTCTTCCACAATTATAATACTTCATGATTTGGTCTGCTGAATCTATACCACTAATGTTGGCATTGTAATCTTTAATTGCAGGGGGGCATGGAACATTTATTCTACCAACTGCCCCTTTTTTTCCTTTTTGCTTCACATATATTGTACTGTTTTCAACTTTTTCATCATAATTTGGATAGTGTATTGTTGAAAGTATATGAACAGGCTTGCTGTCAATCCAGACCTGTGCCAAAACTGAACTGCACATTTGCCAATCACTAAACCCGCGTTTTAACTTCATTTTTGTTTTTGATATAATCTCCTTGGGAAATTGGCTGCAATCAACTTGTGAAGTACCTGTTGCATAAACCTTATTTTCGTAAAGATTCTCAAGCAAACCAACTTTAGTGTAATAGTTATCTAAATACAGATTGTATCCTTGTTTTAAAACATGTTGGATTAGTTGACGGACAACAGTTCCTGCAAGATCATGGTGCTTTAGTCCATCAATATCTTTTCCAGTGTAAATCAAGAACTCTGATATGTACCCGGTAGATGACTCTGCCATTACCCAAGCTTTTATTCCATTACTCCAGTAATCATGGATGCGTGGAAGTTTTATTATTCCCATGGCTAAACAAATTGCTATAAATACTTTGATATCATTTGACGTAACATCAACCCATACCATTCTATGCTTTATAGGAGAAGATTGTAACCTTCTTGAATGGTAGTTATTTGTTTCAGTCACAAGTTTTTGCACTAAAGCATTATCAAAGAACAATTCAAAGAGATGGATTGGTTTGATATTTCCATCGCAATTAGGTATTGCAGATCTTCTAAATGTTGGTCCTGGTGTTACCATAAATGGAGTAATAGTTCTAATAGTTTTAATTTTTTTCCATTCTCTATTATCTTTACTAATAGTAAGCTTCTTGGTCTTAATGGTATGAAGTCGTTTACAAGTTGGTTGTTTACGGATTTTTCTCTTATTATTTACAGTATCATTGCTATCAGTAAATGCTATTGTAAAGAGTCCTTTATTATTATTAGTTACTGAATTATTAATAGAAAAGTCGACATCTATATTTTCTGTTAAATCATCTTCGGAACTAACATATTTTTCAGATGATGAAGATGAAATTATTTCTGATGATGACTGATTTGGTGATAATTTAATTGTCAATGGAGCTGTTGTTGAGAAAATATCAGGCATCAGTTCTTGGAATTCGTTGTCATCAGACTCTGAAGACTCATAAGACAAATCACTAACATCGTCCATTTCATCAAGTATTCGAAGAACTTCATTTGGATCATTTATAATCCTATTTCTTAAAGCCATCTGCGCTGACATCGTCTAACAACTACATATATTTTTATCAATTATCTTCAGTGTTTTGAACATAAAAACTATCCGTGAATTAAAATTTCCAAATCTCCTTAGTTCAATTTATATGTATAGAAGCACAAAAGATTATTATTTAAGACTAAACATGCTTGAATATAACTTTTAGAGAGGTGTTTTGATTGGTATATCCAAGTCAGGGAGGGTTAAAACTAAAACTTCAGTAAAACTGTTGCTTTTGAATTAATTGTTAACTCAATTGAGTTACAATTGAGAATACTTTGATCAAAGTATCAGTGGACAACTATATAAAAACAGCATACATAAATAAGTGTAAAGATCACATACTTTATGTGATGTTACACTTATTTATTTTTACACTTATTTACTTTACTAACAAAAGCCTTGTTAGTGTTTTTAAAATATATTATCATTATCTTATTATCATTTTAAAATAAAACCATTTAATTATTGATCACAATAGCCTGTTTAATAGGCTATTGTAAACAATAATTAAAAGATAAAGTAGTATACAATTTATATATTCCATTATCTAAAGATGTTAATTATTAAATACAAAAATAAAGTAGTATACAATAAATTAATGTTAATAGTCAATAACAGTTATAACTTTTTATTAAAATACTTTAAAAACTTAATCATTAAGTTAATGTTTTTAAAGTGTTTTAATAATGTTAAACCAATATTAATAGTATAAAAGATAAAATTGTTATTAACTAATAATATTCAATAACAATTTTATCTTTTATACTATCAATATTGTTTTATATTAATAATTTTGAATTATAAATTTCAAATTAATAAAAAATTAATAATTATTATTAATTTATTGTTTACTACTTTAACTTTGTAGCAATATTCCAAGTGTTAGTTTGTTGTTTGTAATTAGATTTTTTTTATATTCTTATTGTTAATTTTCTGTTTAAGTTTTCATTTTGCCATTTATGATAGTAGAGTTGAAAAAAGTAAACAAGAAATAACAAGGCAGAATTTACACTATTTCTTATTGGAAACAAGATGGAACTGATATTGAACTGTCAAAAGATTAAAAACTAGTTGCTGTTGTTATATCAGGGAAGTTTAAATTTTTTTAATTGGAATATGAAATTAATGTAAAAATGCTCACAGTATAGCAAGTTTTGTAACCAGCAAAATAACTCCCACAAGTTTAATGGCTTGCAAATAGGTTTTGGAAGTTTTATGGCTTGCAAATAGGTTTTGCAAGTTTTGTGGCTTGAAAATAAGTAAAACAAGTTTTTTGACTACCAAATAAGTACCACAAGTTTTGTTGCTTGCAAATAAGGTATAGCAAGTTTTGTGGCTTGCAAAGAGGTACCACAAGTTTTGTGGCTTGCAAATATAGTACAGCAAGTTTTGTAGCTTACAAATAGGTATTGGAAGTTTTGTGGCTTGCAAATAGGTACTGCAAATTTTGTGACTTGCAAAATAAGTATCGCAAGTTTTGTTGCTTGCAAATAAGGTACAGTAAGTTTTGTGGCTTGCAAGTAGGTACCGCAAGTTTTGTGGCTTGCAAATCGATAGTTGACTCTTGCTTACCTTTACGTGGTGTCTATTGTTAAAAATTATTCATTTTGTTTCGTTAATGTAATTTAAAAATTAAATTATTTACTAAAAGCCCAGACAAGAAATAATTACATTTTTTATTTCAAAAAACTTGTTTTTTTTTGTGTGTTTTTTTCTCAGGTTGGAGTGGTTAATCTGTTCCTTTACATGATAATGTATACTCAGATGCATCTTGTAATGTGTTAAAATAGTTTTTTATTCTAATTTCTTTTTCTTTAAAAAAACATTTAAAGACATCTTTGTTAAATTGTAATTAAAAATTTTTTTGGTTCTGACAGAGGAGGATGGCTTGCTCCTCTTTTTATAAAGACAAATTATACACCTCTAGGTGTATAAATTGCCTTTATGAAAGGGGGTGCATAAAGGCAATTTATACATACTATACTAAACTTTTTCATTTCAAATGGCTTGTTGTTTTCGTGTATTTTTTTTTAAGTTGGAGTGTGTAATCGGTCTTTTTTCATGACAAAATGGTTACTCTGATGCATTTTGTAATGTGTTAAAATATTTTGTTATACTAATTTCTCTCTGTTTTTAAAAAAAACCATTTTAACATTTTTTTGTGAAATTTTCATACAATTTTTTTTTTTAGGTTCATGGCAGAGGGGAGGGGGCCATATACGCTCTCTTCCATCAAAGCAATATATTTTTTTGCTTTTTATAATGGATTTAATCATTTTAGTAAAGATTGTAATAATTAAAAGAATGAAATTTTGATAGGGTGTGTTAAACCTTTCCCAAAACCCAACACCCAACTTTAAGATAAACCTGTAGTATTTGCTAGTGATGTGAAATAAATAAATAATAACTTGTTGTATATAAGTATTACTAATTTTATAAAGAAAACACTCTATTTAAAAAAGTTGTATTTTTGTGAGGTGTAGGTTGATTAGCACCCCCTCTGGATCCCTCCATGCGCCCTAGAAACTAGTTTGAAATTATAGCCCATTTTTACATCTATCTTTTGGTACTAAGTTATAGATATTTGAAAAAGAATTGTCAAAGTTATAATAATTTATGTAGGAAAAATTTTTTTTTTGACCACAGTTTTATCAAGAAATCCATATATTGAAAAATTGCTACTAAAAACGTTATAATTTTTTTATAGAATTGTCTAATTTTCATCATTTTTACACCTTTAAAATACTGTATTTGAGGGCTTTCCAATGATATATAGCATTCTAGTATTGGATCAGTTTAAAAAAATCAGTCCACAAACCTATTAATATAAATTTTATTTCTCAAACATACTACAAACACTCTAATATGATATATTATATATACTTATAATTTATGAACCAATAATTTTTTATGAATATCTAATCTATAAACAAGATATTTAAATTAATTTACTTTCAAGAATATCACTCTAATTCTAATATTTTTTTCTTTCTATTTAAAGTCAAATTGTGTGCTCTTGTTCATCTATTAAATTGTTTATTGGTCTGAAATCACACACAAGTTACCCTACTTCTTCCAATTTGTAATTTCTTTACTTCTATAAAAAATTCTCAAAATTATCTTCCTCTTTTAGCAATCTTAAATTATATATTCTAAATCATTGTTCAGTTAAGTACAGCATAACAAATCACATCACAAGCCAATGCATAAAATCATGAAATAAGTTATCATTTTTTATTCATAGAATAATTTATTTTTATATTCACTTTATATCACTAAACTTTACTACTAAAACTCATTATTATTGCTCTTGGTATGATTATATGTAATATAAATATCAAAGTTATTATAAATATAAATATATAATAAATAAATATATAAATATATAATATATAAATATATATAAATATATATTTAAAAAAATATAAATATATATAAATATATATATAAAAAAAATATATAAATATAAATATATAATAAATTATAGTTGTTTAATAATATAAATAAATTTAATATTTATCGATATTATTGAAACTATTATTATTATATTAATATAAATATAATTGTTAACATTAGTTACCTCGTTATAATTGTTTTAATATTGTTATTGCTATTATTATACAATTGGTTTTTACTTAAGATTAGTATTAGTACTATTTCTAAATATCCATGTTTATGTTGCATACATACACATATATGACATATATGTGTGTGTTTTCTTTTAAGCAATTGCAAGTTTCCAAATACATGCAAAGTAAAGTAAGTAAAGAAAACAATACTTTTCAATTAGTAAATTTAGTATTAATTAATTTTAATTTTTTACATTTTTTATCCTTATTTTTATAACATGATCAATTAAAATGCACTAGAACTTTGTTCTGCAGAACAAAGTTCTAGTGCATTTTAATTGAACTAAGTATAGAATTTTAATTTATTAACCTGGGTAAATAAATTTCCAATTGAGAGAGTTGATAGAGTTGCAGCATTTTTAGAGAAATATCAATGTGTCCCTAATGTGCTATTGGTAAAATTTTTATTTATTTATTTGTGATTTCATATATTTATTGGATAAAATGAAATAGTGTTTGAAAATCACAAATCTTTTTTTAAATGAGAAGGTATTTTCAAAACTGCTATGTCCTCTAATGGGTTATTCTATAAGTTTTCTCTGCTTTTTAAAGTTGTATGCTTTTTTTATTATTATTATTTAATTCAGACTGTTGGCGACATGGCACATGTATTAAAGTCTTCTGTCACAGTTGACTCAGCAAGAATGAAGACATTGATACACTTTTGCATTATGGAATGCACAAGATGACAGTTCCTCGCCCACTGCCATCCAAATACAGGTAGGTATGCATGCATACACAACCTTCAAAATTAGTAAAACTAAAATGAGTTATAAATTGTCGACATTTTAAGATATGAAAAGATATTATTGTTAAATTTCAAAAGTGTACTCCAATAAGTTCCATCACTTCGTGATGGAACTTATTGGAGTACACTTTTTTTGGACATAGGAGGAGTATTGCCGCTGCAAGCATGAACAATAATAAAACATTCCAAAGAATAATTTGTTATTTCAACGATTAGATTTGATGTTTAAATGTATAAATGCTTGTTGAATATTCTTATTATATATCATCCTAATTTCAAAATAATGTTTCATTTTTTCCATAGAAAAAGTACTTTTGTAATATTGTTTTATAGTTCAGGGAAAATATTATTGAAAAAAAAAAAAAATAGAATCTTATTTTAAATAACAATAACATTGAAACAAGTAAAAAATGATTTTTTTTAGGGAATATAAATTCTTGAAACAAGAAAAAAATACATAATTTTAAGAATATAAGTTCTTGAAACAAGAAAAAAAGTTCTTGTTTTAAGAATAAAAATTCTTAAAACAAGAAAAAAAGTTCTTATATTTAGAATAAAAATTCTTAAAACAAGAAAAAAATTCTTATATTAAGAATAAAAATTCTTAAAACAAGAAAAAAAGTTCTTATATTAAGAAAAAAAAATTTTTAAAACAAGAAAATAAATTCTTATATTAAGAATAAAAATTCTTAAAAAAAGAAAAGAAATTCTTATATTAAGAAAAAAAATTCTTAAAACAAGAAAAAAAAATCTTATATTAAAAAAAAAAATTCTTAAAACAAGAAAAAAAATTCTTATATTAAGAAAAAAAATTCTTATATTAAGAATAAAAATTCTTAAAACAAGAAAAAAATTCTTATATTAAGAATAAAAGTTCTTAAAACAAGAAAAAATTCTTATATTAAGAATAAAAATTCTTAAAACAAGAAAAAATATTTTTACGTGGCGGACAAGTTTTTTTCTTGTTTTAAGACTTTTTTTGCTTAAAACAAGAATCTCGGATTTTGCTGTGTATTGCTAAAATAATTTAACATTATTTCATAACAAACATCCATTTAGTATTTTATTTTATTTAAATGGGTATTTTTTAAGTGGACTAGCATAAAAAAAGTCTCATTTACATCAGTTTCACTTACACACTATGCAAGTGGAACATCTTTACATTTTGCCAAAAAATCCTCAAATAAAAATATTTTTAACAAGGTCAAAAGTAATTTTTTTTTCCCTTTGAAACTGCTTTTTCCTTGACATCAACATAAAAAAATTGTTAAAGTACATTAAGGTGGTACTACCCTACATTTTTTTTGTCACAAAAAAAGTCAGCAAAAAACATGCCGTTACAAGAACATGAATAGCTTGAGTAATATTTGAGATAAAAGCTTTAAATTTTACAAACATATAGCTAAATGGTTGGCGGAGGGCCCCTAGTAGAATTTTTTAAATATACAGAGCCAAAGTCAAATGGCAGATATTAACCTGTAAATATCATAAAAAATGGTTTGCGGGGTATGTAAAATTTTAAATTCTGGTCGAAATAAAAAGTATTTTTTGTTTATTCTACTACCAGCCCTTTCTACAACATCAATGAACAAACTGTGAAAATTTCAAAGAAAAAGAGTTAACAGTTTCTGAGATATCAATGTTCTAGTTTAAAAATGTTTGAAAAATATTATTCTAAGTAAAACAGCTTTTAAAATAAAAAAAGTCTTTAACTAAAAAAATTTCTAATTAAAAAATATCCGAACTGGCCACAAAAATATGATTAACCACCTTCAATATTTTGTTCTGTGTCAAAATAACCTTTTTACAACACCAACGAAAAAATTGTGAAAATAGAGCAAACATATAAACAAACATGCTTGCTAAGGCCGTTGCTAGGGATTCGAAAATTACCTAGTTGCCTTTAAATACTAATTTAAGTACTTTATATTGATTTTTAAATGGAAAAAAAAATTATACTCGTGATTCAGGATGTTCAAACTGTTAAAGTTGAAAAAAAATTTTTTTTTTCTTTTGATGTTTTTAATATGGTAGTACCACCTTAATTACTGCTCGGCGCACTAAAGTTACAACTGTCTGACCCACGATTCAAAATGATTCTTATATCTAATGGGTAAATCCCATATTTCTTTCAAAACCGCTAAGCTACTAAGTTGTTGATTATCTTTTTATTTGACAAATATAATGATTATAAGTAAATAAAGAAGAAAGAAGACTTATTTTTTGTAATGGTCTGTGCATTTTTTAAACAAAAGGTTTTCAATTGATCAAGTATTTTCTTACAATATATTTTATTAGATCAATCAAATGCAACATCAAGAGATTGCAATAAATGGGTAGAGTTACCAGTTATAGAACAAGATACTGTTTTCTCAACAAAATACTATTTTCTTTAGTAAATTCAAGTACTTTTTTACTGTAAAAATTACTTCGATTATAACTAAACATTCCTAGTTCCTACAATAATATTTTTGACAAAAAACAATAACAAAACAGTCAAAAAAGTAAATAGAATCAAACCGTCCTGACTTTAATTGTATGTTTGATTGTATACCATTAGGTGGTTCACTTCGGTTTTTCTTGTGCATAAATGGTCAGCTTAATAAACATAAACAGAGAAAACTTGACCAGAAGCACTAAACATGCTTAACGTTTGACGTTACAACTAAACACAATTGACGTTAACATAACATGTTGCATATTTGTAAAAACTTTGGACTTTCAAATATTTTTGAATTAAGTTTTTAAACTTTATTATACAAAGTGGCAACTTGCACCCAATGAACATCTATTAATGTTTTTATCTAATAATGTTTATTGTTATCTTAAAATTGGCACTCAGTATAATTTATATACTGCATTGTATCATTTTTTTTTTCATATAAAAGTGGAATAGTACTTATATCTTATATATCTTTATTTTTGTCTTGAAAACTGTCAAAATATGCTTTGTCTAATAAATAATTCTCCTTTATTCTAATGTACTTCATTTCTTCCCTCAGGCGTTCACTGCTCGTGTGTGACCATTCGGCGAATTTTATATGCCAAAGTTTTTAAATAATATTGGGCCTAACCCGTAAGGATTAGTGTTACGGTCATCGAGCACGACTATTTTCCTAATCGCAATTACTGTCACCGCGAAAGAGGATTTTTGTCTGCGGAAGATGCCTGGGCTAGCTTTTTAGTCATAAGTCAGTTATAAATCCATGCATAGGTGTTTAATCCATCATGGTTTTCTGGAGTATGGCTGGGCTAGCTTGGTTTAGTTCAGAGACAAATCTTTTACGCTGGTTACTAACAATGCAAGACTCTACTGAACGACATAAACAGCAAAGACTTACACATTACACCTATACATCCTTATGCACATATAGTCTGTTTACATCTTTTGTATGCTTTTTGTTCTTTCATAGATAAACTATCTTTGTTTGAACTCATCCTTATTTAGATAATATTTTCTTTTAATAGATATGTTGTTGAAATGTAGATACAGATTTGTATGTTATCTATATGTGTTTATCATGTGTGATTGAATTTTTCATTAAAGGATTTATATGCATATACATATAAGCATCAGAGCGATTCTTATAAACTAGCGGCTTTCGACTTGTTTTTATGAAGTATGTTTTTCCTTGTTATTTTGTTATGGTCTCAAAGTTACATTTAATTCGGACCGTAGAGAAAACTTTATTTTTCGGAAATTTCGATTTTGATATGGTCTCAAAGTTTCTTTTAGTTCGGACCGTAGAGAAAACTTTACTTTTCGGAAATTTCGATTTAGATATGGTCTCAAAGTTTCATTTAGTTTGGACCGTGGAGAAAACTTCATTTCTTAACAATTTTTTTTCCCGCTTTCTACATCGTTTTTATATCACGATTTATATCATTGTTATATTACCCACAACTAATTTTTTAACCACTCATTTGGCTTCAAATTATCTGGTTTTATTACAATATTTATTTAGTCTTATTGCTATATTTATTAATATATTACTTATCTCCTGATTTTCATATTATTACTGTTTACAGAAACTTTCATGTTATATTATCTTGCATTCATTTTTGTTTTGTTTTAATTTTCACATGCACAATTTTCATCTTTATTATTATTCAGAGAATATTTTTATATCCTTCATTTAATGTTTACATATATGTCGCTTACATTTTTAAGGTTTTTGTGCAACGTTCTTTTTCGCTATCATATATTATTCTGTTATTATTATGATTTTGGGTTTCGTGGGTTACTCATTTTCCTACACTTTTGATTGGTTATCATATTTCGAATGAGGTATCTATGACAGCGTTAGAGTTTATTTAAGGGTATTGTTTTGTTTATTAAAAAAATTTTTTAATGAGGTATACTGCTTTCTGATTATTATGGGCTTGTTTATGCTAATAATATCTATTTGGTTTTATTTCTTAAAATAAATTGATTAATATTTTTATGTTTCTATTAGAATTTTAATTTATTTTGTTATCATGTTTTCTTTTGGTGGTACGGTAAGTGTTTTATTTAGTTGTTTTAATTTTTGTTTGTTCAGTAAATCTATACTTTTTATATCATATCATCAAAAAAAAAAAAAAAAAAAAAAAAAAAATTGGTGCTTTACAAATTTGGGGTTGGTTGGGTTTTGGCTATTTGTAGTGAGTCCTTTTTTACTGCAGTATGGAATAGGCGTAAGTCGCGGGGTAAAGCATAAGTGGCGATGACGTTTGTCTGACGGGATAAACTAGTTATAAATGCTGATCCTCATCGAAACGCCAGTAATAATAGACGCGACTCTGAGGAGATGTTTATTACTTATCACTACACTAATTATGTTTACACATTAGCATTAATGTATTTTTTTCCATTATTAGTCCTTTCATTGTTGTTAGCATATTTTTAATTTGTTGAATGGTTTTTTGTTTTACAAATTGTTGACTGGTTATGTATTTCTTGTATACTTTAGTTCATATTGGTATTTATAAAACAATTTTTTTTATTTTTTATTTATATATATATATATATATATATATATATATATATATATATATATATATATTTTTTTTTTTTTATTATTATTTGTTTTTATTTTTTAAAAATTTTTTTTTTATTGTTATTATGGTTAAATACTGTTTTGGTTGTATAGCTTGTCTTATTTATTTTTAAATATTCCTCTATTAATCTTTATTTTTGTCTTGACAACTGTCAAAATATGCTTTGTCTAATAAATAATTCTCCTTTATTCTAATGTA